TCCTGTTACCGCAGCCTCTCTTAAGGCTGCGCTTAACAAGCTCAGAAAAGAAATTGAAAACAATGGAGCCTCTACCTCTAGGCAGCCGCCCAGGAGAGAGGAGCAGAGGGCTCCAAAGAAGACGCACAGCAAAGCGGTCCATGCAGCGGACGCCGGAAACACTCCCTTTCGAAGGCCGACCGGAAGGTCCCCGAGAGTGCCGCAGACTAATTTCTCTGACTTGCTGGCGAAAACGCAGTCGGCTGGGGGGAGGGGTAGGCAGCCTCGAAGAGAGGAGCCTGAGCCGTCCAGATGATGGAAGGACGCAAGAGATTACCTTCGGCATAAGCAGCGGGAGAGTGCCGCCCACTCAGACACGGCCTCAACCCCAACTATGCCGGATGATTTCTCACACCATTCTCTTTCCTAACATACCAACAAGGCCATCCCCAAGGGAAGTCAGGTGGCTCGCACCCAGACTCCTATTCCAGTCTTTCATGCTCCAACTCCTATTATAGCCCAATCACTACAATATCAGCCTCCTCAGGGTTTCAATGGCTTGATGCAGCCGAACCCCCAGGCATACGGACAATATGGGACATATGGGCAGGTGTACGGATAGGCTCCCTATCTGGCTGGACCGTCCGTGCAACAGCAACCCATCGATTGGCAGATGCGTCTACTTACTCTGGGAGATAAGCCGCCCCCGTTTTCGCAAGATATCTTAAATGCCCCTCAGCCACCAAAGGTGAAGAGTGTACTTGTGGGAGCCTATGATGGCACGGGCAACCCAGAAGAGCACATCACCTCGTACAGGAACCTGATGTACTTGCAAAGCGTAGATGACGCTACTTGGTGCAAATGTTTCCCGGCCACTCTGAAAGGTGTGGTGCAGGATTGGTGCAAGAGTTTGCCGGCCAGATGTATCAATTGTTTTACTACTCTTAGTTTGCTGTTCGTGGGAAATTTTTCATACAACATACCGCCTCGAAAGACTAGCCTTAACTTGGCGACAATCGTCCAAGAAAAAATGAGGGCTTACGCTCGTAATTCCAGCGATTTAACCAAGAAAAAGCCCAAATTCATAATCTGCCGGATGAAATGGCTTACTCTGAATTTCTCCGGGGATTAAGGCACAATAGTTTTAAATTTGACTTGGTAAGAAAAAAGATTCGGACATACGCAGGTGTTCTGCGGGAAGCCGGAGCTTATATTGAGGCGACGGACTTTTGCTCGCTCACAAAAACAGAAGCGTCGGCCAAGGGGCTGAGAAAAAACCTTCTCAACAAGACTCGGTCGGCCAAAAGAAAGAAAGAACAAAGAGAAAGGAAGTCTGGGTGGCTTATGCCCAGCCGCAGAAGTCCAAGAAGGTCAAGGCGTACGAGCCTCAGTATGAGTTCAACAAGGATTGTTATTCTATCCTGATGGAAATCAAGGATAAGTTTGAATTTGAGAAACCACAGCCGCTGAGAGGCCCGGCTCAGTATAGGAACAAGAACAAGTATTGTCATTACCACAAGGATGTGGGACATGACACGAACGATTGCATCAATTTGAAGAGACTGTTGGACAAGCTAGCCGAGAAAGGCATGCTAAATTCGTATGTGATGAAGTCCAAATTCACTTACACACGGAAAAACAACACGTCCGATCAAAGACAGAAGAATGATAAGAATAATGATAAGAATAATGATAAGGAAGATGACGGCAACAACACTGATTCAGGTTTTGTGGCTGTGATATCAGGAGGATTTGCTTCAGGCGGTCCCACTATGAGGGGGATCAAGCAGGATTCCCGCAACTTGGGTAAAGTAATGCAAATGGACTCAGTCAAGGCCGAACCTTTCCCTGAAGTAGTCATCAGTGAAGCCGATCGGGGGGAGGTCAAAGCCTTGCACAATGATCCCATGGTATTCATTATGAAGATAGCCAACTTGAAGGTCGGACGAATATTAATTCACACGGGTAGCTCGGCTGATATCATGAGCCTGGCCGCCTTGAAAAATCTAAGCTTCTCAGAGGATGCTCTCCAGGACATCACTCACCCGTTGGTTGGATTTGGGGGGAATGTCATCCACCGAGTGGGACGGATAGACTTACGTGTCCGATTCGGTCAAAAAGGGGAAGGAAGAGATATGGTTGTCCGCTTCTTGGTTGTGAAAGAACTGACTGGATATAATGTCATACTCGGACGTCCTACACTGAATGCAGAAAAAGTTGTCATTGTGCCTCACCTAATGCTGCTAAAGTTTGAGAGGACGGACGGGAAAATAGGCACGATCCAAGGAAGTCAGAAGATGGCAAAAGAATGTAATCAGTTGGCAGTTAAGCCTACAACGCGCGGACCAAAATTGTCCGATCCAAAAGAAGAAGAAACCTCACTCCCAACACAGCATGTCGGCCAGAAGCGTAAGGCGGCCTAGATAGAGAAAGCGTAGCAGCTAATGACTGTCGGTCGGCCAGAAAAGTTACGACCACAGCCGGCCGGCAGTCACCAGGATATAGTGCTCGACCCCGATCAACCAAGTCGGACGGTTAGTGTAGGCACTATAGCTGTGAGTGTGCTTGGGGATGAGTTAATTCAATTATTGAGAGAGTTCAAAGATGTATTTTCATTTGATGTTGGCGAGATGCCAGGTATAAGCCCTAACCTGGCCGTGCATAAATTGGCTGTAAGCCCGACCGTTAAACTTGTCCGCCAGAAGAAAAGGAATCATGGAGAAGAGAGGAATCAGGTGGCCGCAACAGAAGAACAAGAAGCTGCTGGACGCCGGTTTCATTCGGCAATGTTATTACCCAGAATAGGTGGCCAATGTGGTCCTTGTGAAGAAGCCGAATGGAACTTGGAGAATGTGTGTGGATTACACCGATCTAAACAAGGCATGCCCCAAGGATAGCTTTCCCCTTCCCAAAATCGACCGCCTGGTTGATTCGACGGCCGGGCATGCCCTGATGAGTTTTATAGACGCATACTCCGGATTCCATCAAATTGCATTATAGGAAGAAGACCAGGAGAAAACAGCGTTCGTGACTGAGCAGAGGTTGTATTGTTACAAAGTTATGCCATTCGGCCTTAAGAATGCCCTAGCTACCTTTCAACGACTTGTTAATACAGTCTTCAGAGATCAGCTTGGCCGGAATATGGAGGCGTACATTGATGACATGATTGTCAAGTCAAAAGAGTCGGTCGACCATTTGAAGGATCTACGAGAAACTTTCACCGAACTCAGGCGGCATAAGATGATGCTAAATCCAAAGAAATGTGTCTTTGGTGTTGAGTCCGGTAAATTTCTCGGATTTTTAATTGATCAACGTGGAATTGAGGCCAACCCTGAAAAAATCCAAGCTGTCATGGACATGAAGCCACCAAGGACAATTAAAGAAGTCCAAAGATTGACCGGCTGTTTAGCAGCACTTGGTAGATTTCTGTCAAGATCAGGGGACAAGTGTCGTTATTTCTTTCAAACCATAAAAAAGAAAGCCATGTTTGAGTGGACAGAGGAGGCCGAGGAAGCATTCGTACAGCTAAAAGGCCATCTAGATACATTGCCTCGGCTTGTCAGTCCACTTAAGAGCGAGAAGCTATTTATCTATCTTGCCATCTCAGAACACTCCTTAAGTGTCGTCCTACTTGCTGAACGGGACGGCCGCCATATCCCTGTCTACTTTATCAGCCACGTACTTCATAACGCCGAGTTAAGGTATCCCCCTATTGAAAAATTTGGCTTGGCATTATACATGGCATCAAAAAAGCTGCGGCCATACTTCTTGGCACATTCAATTGTGGTCTACATAGACCAACCTCAGAAGAAGCCATTTACAACTTTAGAGGCAAGCGACCGTATGCTTAAATGGGCCTTGAAAATGAGAGGCTTTGACATTGCATTTGAGCAGAGAAAAGCAATTAAGGGCCAAGCCTTTGCTGATTTTTAGCTGAAATGACTCGACCAGATCTTCAGACGGTCGGCGATCAGATCTGGAAAGTGTTTGTGGATGGTAGTGCAACAGCTACTGGCTGTGGTGCAGGTGTTATATGTTAGTCTCGTGAGGGAGACAAGTTTGAATATGCTCTTAGATTCCAGTTTCAAGCCTCTAATAATGAGGCCGAGTACGAAGCCCTCTTGGTCGGCCTTAGAATGTGTAAGGCGGCAGGAGCGACAAAAATTGATGTATGCTCGGACTCCCTACTTGTAGTCGGCCAGGTGAATGGAGACTTCGAGGCGAGGGAGCAGGCCATGATAAAGTACTTGAAGATTGTAAAATAGGAGGCTAAGAGCCTAGATCATTTTACTCTACAGCAGGTCCCTCGTTCATCCAATCATTAGGCGGACGCCCTCTCTAAGTTAGCATCCTCAGCATCATGTGATACTCCCAGGTCAGTGTTTTGGGAAGTGAAAGAAAAGAGGAGTATTGACGCTGAAACAGTACACGCCATTGATAGAAGCTCCACTTGGATGGACGGGATCATATCTTACCTAAAGGATGGATTACTCCCGGCCGATCCTAAAGAGAGCTGGCTGATGAAAAAGAGAGCGGCCTGATTTGAAATTAAGCAAGGAGAGTTGTTCAAAAAGGAATTTGTAAAGTCGTACCTGAAATGCATCACTCCTGAGAGAGGGCATGATGTCTTGGATGATCTTCACCAGGGGCAGTGTGGTTCTCACATTAGAGGACAAGCTTTGGCTGAAAAGGCTGCCCGCCTGGGTTACTACTGGCCGAGCATAAAGTCGGACGCAATGGAAATGGTAAAGAAGTGTGACAAGTGCCAGAGGTTTGCAACATTAATTCACCGACCCGCCAACAGTCTTTCGGCCATCAGCAGTCCACTCCCCTTTGCCAAATGGGGGATGGACATTTTAGGACCATACACATCAGCGTCCAGCCAAAGGCGGTATGTGTTTGTAGCAATAGAATACTTCACAAAATGGGTAGAGGCCGAGGCCGTCCGGGGCATCAAATGGACGGATGTTTCCGCCTTCATATGGAAGAGTACTATTACCCGCTTTGGCGTCCCTCAGTCTATGGTGTTTGACAACGGACCTCAGTTCGAAACGCCTCAACTAAAAGAATGGTTGGAAGACCAAGGCATAGCTCACTGCTTTGCCTCAGTCGGCCGCTCACAGGCAAATGGTCAGGTAGAGGCATATAAAAAATTGATCTCCAATGGAATTAAGCGCAAGCTTGAAAGAGCAGGCGGCTTATGGGCTGATGAGTTAGTCAATGTGCTGTGGTCCATACGAACCACGGCCAAGAGTTCCACAGGGGAAACTCCCTTCTTCTTAGTCTATGGTGCCGAGGCGGTCCTTCCAATTGAAATGTATGAGCCCACCCTTAGGGTAATGTTATATGATGAAGCGGCCAATTGGGAAGCCATGAAGACCGCCCTAGATTTCCTTCCTGAAGCCAGGGGCAACGCGGCACTTAGACACAAAATCTATCGTCTACGGATGACAAGGGCGTACAATCGCCGAGTGTCTAAGCGGACGATGAAGTTGGGAGATCTGGTCCTAAGAAAGATGGAGGCTGTGGGACGAGCAAATGAGGATGGGAAGCTGACCCCAAATTGGGAAGGGCCGTATCGAGTCAGGGAAGAGGTCCGAGATGGGACTTACCATCTCGAAGAAATGAACGGCCGACCCATTCCGCGTACATGGAACACTGACAATATGAAGAGATATTATGTTTAAGTACTTAGCCAAAAGTTGTGTGTACAGCTAGGTCTGTTGACCGAGCAATGTAAGTCGTACGGCCACAACAATGTAATTTTGACAAATTAATGAAAAGTCAAACATTGTTATAATTATTTTTCCATTTAATTTATGCTTATTTGCACAGTCATAATTTATACGGCCGTGTGAAATTTGCAAGTAGGTTGCTTGCAACATAGCAACTCGGTCGCAGAACAAAAGTAAATTAAATAAAATAAGAATGGGCAACTTGATCCCAAGTCATATGAATGCGTCCGCCCTTAATTAAGGCGGATGGAAAAGGTAAGGTACCCTGTGAAACCCATATAATGGGGGCAAGGGCATACCTAGGCATTCCAGCCCAGCCGAACATGAAAAATTTAAGTTGAGATCATACTTGGAATTTTCTGAGTGCGTCCGAGCGATAGTTTCAACGGACAAACTCACATAAAGCCAATTAAACGGCCAATTAATGTGTTGATTCGGCGTACCACCTAGTCCAAGGGCAATCATTATTATGATTTGATTAACTTGGTAGTAGTCATACAGCCTAAGGTATAAATTCTACCAAGTCAATCAAACCACCCAAAATATGGACTAGGCGAACGCCGAATAAAGGGGCATACCCCACAATTGTACGAAGATACAAAAATACGCGTACATAAAATAGCTCAAATGTAAAAAAGTATGCGTACGAAAATGCAAAAAAATTAAGCGCAAAATTTGCAATGTATGAAGCAAAACCTGAAAGCTGAATTAATAAAAGGACCGCTCAAAAGGCGGTAAAATATCTTACATTTAAACAGCTCGAAAAGGCGGTTGAAAAATTCAAGAAAAATAAACATAAATAGAGCTTAAAGACAGAAAAAGCTGAAAGTCAGGGGGCGGCCGGGGTTGAAGCTGAATCATGGACTGGGATGGGATCCTGAGAAGTTGCAGGAGAAGCGTCCTCAGCTGGCACCTCTTTGCTCTCTGCTTCACCATCATGGCCGACCGCTACTTCATTTTCCTCATCCTCTGAGGTTGTTGGTGTGACATCCAGCTCTAGAAAAGGCTGTTCAGCCTTCTTAGCTTCTTCCCTGAGGCAGATGAAGTTGAGGTTCTTAGTGAAGCGCTCTTGAAAATAGGCGGCCTCCCCATCGTCCACCATGAGCTCGAACGCCTCGAAGAAGTGACTCTTCAGCCTATCCTCAGCGTTTTGTTCAATACGGACGACCTTGTATGCGCTAGGGGCCCGAGGCGTCTTCAGTTGGAGAGTTAAGTCCTCAACAGACTTCTTCAAGGTCTCCACCTCGGCCCTAAGTGCGTCTGCCTCGTCCAGGGATTCTTTCAAATGCTTCTGGGCCAAGGAAACCTCACTTCTGAGCTTCTCTGAAGCCTCAAATCCCTCCTTCCAGCATTGGCCGTCCAGGAGGGCCTGATCCCTCTCCTGCCTCATAGTGTCCCTGGCTAAGGCCTCTTGTTCGAGAAACTTACCCAGTTTCACCAGATCCTCCGCCTGTCGCGTTGCCTTGTCGGACAGCGCATTGATCTGGGTATCAAAATATCGGCGCTGGACGGCCACTTCCCCGGTAACATCATCCTGGGCCTTCTGGACGTTCTACCAGGCACACTTCAGCTTTTCGTTTTCTTTTTCCTTCCATTCAAGGAAGGTGGTCAGCCATAAGAAAAGCTGCGCACAAGAAAAACAGGGTACATGTGTTAGCAAAGTAAGAGTGAAAAAATGACTAAGTGCATTTGAGGGGAAAAGTTACCTCAGCGTTGCAATTGATCATGGGGCCGAGGAAGCCCTCATGTATCCTCCGCAGCTTATATCGCTGCTCAGCAGGGACGGCCCGGGCCATGGCTTCCCGCATAGCTTTTCTGTCCGCCCTAGTAAGGGATTGGTCGGGCGTCTTCATGTGTAGCTCCTCAACAATGTCTGTAGGCGGACGCAAGGAGTTTAATTTAAGCTCAAAAAAAAAAAAAGAAGTATAAAATCCAAAATCACTCGGGCTGACCGTCAGAGAAGTTTGGAGGGGTAGGAAGGTTAAAAGTGAATGGCGGGGGCGGCGCAGGCTCATCACCCTCTTCCCCCGTCGAGCCAGGCCGATCGCCGACCGACTGAATGGCATCAAGCCAATCAGATTCATTGACTCTTTGGACGGGCGGAGTCCCTTCAGGCCCGATCGGTTTTGTCGGGGTCGACTTACCCCCATCACCCGATTTCTCGGACCTAACATGACCCGGCATGGCGGCCGGATCCATGGACTTGGAGGCCCCGCTATCACTCAGCCGGGGTTGTTCTCCTTTGGACTGCTTAGAGGCAATCCGCGACGTTGTCTTGGCCGCAGAAGTGGAAGTGGTCTTGGACGCGACCGTCTTCCTTTGTTTGGACGCCTTGCCGTCCTGGTCCGTCTTGGATGTAGGGGACGACTGCTTCCGTTTGGACCGAGGGGTTGGAGTGGCCAGCTGTAGAGGCAAAAGTTAGTAAAAAGAAAGCAAGATAATATAATTGATAGGCCGTGCCAAGTTGGGAAGAAGATCTCTTCCGTAATACATACACGGACGAGGGGAAGAAGTCCAGATGAGTTTACTTACTCCTTTATTTTGCTCGTACAGCTTTTGGCACGCCTTGTATCGAGCTAAGTCAATCTCGACCATGTTGACCTCTCCTTTCTGCTCTGAGTCAAACATCTTGTATGCCTCAGCTGAAAGAGAAAAGGAAAAAGTGTTAGAAAATTCTTCAAGATCAAATAATCCGCGTATGTGTAAGAATATGTGTCCATGAGTCCACCTTGGGGCAGGTTCTTGTACAGGCCATAGGCGGACATAAATGTGAGATCCCGCAGCCAGCTGGATAAAGGGACCCAATTACTTGGAGCGCGCTCAGTTCTGCTTGACTTTGAAATATTCAAGCTGGTACTCCTGGCTAGGGTGGACGGGTGGCTTATCAGGCTTGAGGTCCCCGCGTCCAAGTTGAATTGGCTCAGCATTGAACCGATTCATCCGCAAGTTAAATTCAACGTCCTTGGTTTTGATGCGGTAGAATCGGTGCTTCCAGTCACGCCACTTAGAGACGCGGTCCACCACCATCATGTAGTCTCTAGTGGTGCTTAAGATGAACCATTCGTCCGTGTCCGCGTCTAGCTTAGTCAGTGAGTGCATCTCACAAAAAACTGCAAAGTTTGGCTTGAAGCCTTTGCAGATGCATGTCACCAAGTACCCAAAAATGTTCAACCAGCTGTTTGGCATCAGCTGGAAGAGGGCTATGTCATACTCGTCCAAGATTGTGCGGACGAAAGGATGGAGGGGGAAGCGCAGTCCAACGTCTAAGGCCGCCCTGTAGACGCTAAAGGATCTTTGGCGCGGCCTCGCTTCTTCCCAAGCAGCCACGGTGCGGGATTTCCGTGGGGGCTGTATCTCGAATCCCTCCCCAAGGTGGAGGAATGCCTTGTAATCCTCAAATTTGTAGTTTAGGTAGCCCAAGGTTGTGCTACCCACCGTGTAGGCGTACGGATCCTTGAAGTTGTCAATATTGGCAACATCCTCTCGGTCGCCTCTTCACCCTCTGCGGCCGCCGCTCCACCCTCGGTCGCATTCTCAACTTCATCCTCCTTTCGCTGAGGAGCGCTCCCAAACTCGGAAGACAGCACTCTGTCCAGGTCGGCTGCCTCCGCTGAGCTGCGTCTCCTAGAACTATGGCCGCCTCGGGGAGAGAGAATGTCTTCAAGTGGCCGTTTTCCCTTATCTTTGGCACCGGCCGCCTGACTCCCAGTAGGAGGAGCTCTGCGAGGGGGCAGGTCGGACGGTTCATTAATTGAAACCCCCGTTCTTGGTCTGTCCGACCTGCCATATCGGAGATAGAGTTCTGAGGGAGTGGGGACGGACGCATCAGCGTCCGCCCGAGAAGAAGAAGGAGGCCCTTCATAGAGTAGCAACTCGGCCCCATCCATGACCGAGCTAGCATATTGGGGGAACCTCAACCCCAGGGTTCGCCTGGACCTTCCCCCCGTAGTAGAAGCGCCTTGGGCTCTTTGGCGCTCCTCGAACGAGGAAGTTACTTCCACGGCCGAGCAGTGGGTGCCTGTTGAAGCAGTCGTAGGAGTGGTAGAAGGGGTCTCTAAGTTGGCCTTATTTGTGTCATACGGAGGCCTAGGGTTTACCAAACTTCAGTCTCGATTTCTGGCCACATGACGATCGTACGTTTGCATCGTCCGTGCCATGTTCGACTGCAGGGACAGAGAAGAATGGGTGGATTGAGATGGTACGCACTAGAAATGGACCCACTCCATGAAGGAGACAACTCGTCTCCGTCCACTCCAGACTCCTCAGTTCCAGGCGAACGGTCGACCTCATGAGGAGAAACGGACGAAGCCGAGTGTTGAGCCAGCTTTTAAATAAACAAAGAAATAAAAATGCAAGGAAAATAAAAACAGGCGGCCTACCTCTGTACGTGTTGAAAACTTGGAAGCCATGAAAATTGATCGGAAAATTCAACAAATGTCCCCGGAAAACTCAACCACACGGCGGAGCTCTTGAAGATTCAAAGGAAAACACACTTTCTCTCTCTAGAAGCTCTGACTTCTCTCTAGATAATGTAAAGTTCCAAAGTGCCAAAATGAAGTCAAACCCCTTGTATATATAGGGAAAATTTATGGGGGTAAGATAGTAAATTCATCTTTCCCGCCTAACTCAGCTGAACGGTTACAATTTGAAAATGTGACCTAGAATTTGGAGGGACAAGGAGCAACTCCGTTAAATTAGGCGGAAAAGAAGGTGACCTAATAAACGGCGCGTCCAAAGGGAAGTTAGCAGAACTAAAGCTCTTTCCGCAATGGCAAGACGGCCGCATCTCTCCAAAGCAAGATGGCCTATCTTCGACCAGGGAAGTTGGTAAAGCTAAAGCTCTTTCCGCAGTGGCAAGACGACCGCATCTCTCCAAAGCAAGACGGCCTATCTTCGACTAGGGAAGTTGGCAGAGCTAAAGCTCTCTTCGCAATGGCGAGACGGCCGCCTCT